ATATATATACATATTATAGTACGGTGGAGATGGCACCGATGGCACAGAGGTAGAACGCTCGCCAACCACGGATGTGGTCTGGAGTTCGATCCCAGGCCTACGCACTCATCCTTTACCTCGCTAAGCCACTAATAAGACTGGTAAAGAGGGAAGGTTGGGAATGGGACTAGCAACCCCATCCCGTAAAAATAAACCACCCTAGTACTGAGGCTACAAAGCTCTAGCCCGAAGCTCTACGTTCCACCTGGAACATACAGAAACAAAATAAAATAAATAATGAATGACAGAGTTGATACACGCAGTTATATCCTGACCCTCAAAGGAACTGGCGAATTTATTAGAATAGAGCTACCTAGAGGCGATTTCAGCCGACTCTGTGGAATTTTGTGATGACTTTATCTACCTTAAATGATCGCAGTCGACCACTGTGTCGGTGACAGATTTTCCAAACGTCTATTGAACAACTCATGGTTATTCTAGTTAAGATTACTATGAAAAAGTAATGATATTCACCAAATGAAACATTCTTCTCTACATATACAATAATTACATAGACTTGTACACTTTGTATATAGATTACTATCCTGTATATAAATTGCTTACATCACCTTTAATAACCTCATCATTACTCGATCAATTATTGGCTGATTTCTTTCTAGTGATTATAGCTTTGTTCTAGCTGTTTTCAAACAAAAATATCACTTTTGTTTCATCATATCTAATATGATTTGTAGAACATTCTTATAACTGACCTGTATTGATTGTTTTCCTTCTATGCTTTCATTTCACTGTGGAAGAGAAAAAATATATTTTGCAATCTCTCTTTAAGGGATATGTCAATCATAAAATAAGAGAATTATTAGATGGAATGCAGAGTTAATCAGTCTTCACAACATTTCTTCCTTTGTTATTGGTTGGGAATAATGAGATGAAATTCACTTCCTGTAAACATGCTTGATTGAAATCTGTGGTGAAAACACAATTTGTGCAGTTTTACACATTCCATTGTGTTGTAAATGGAACAAAAGGATTTAAGTTTAAGCTTTGAAGTTTCAGTAGGACTGATTTTGTTTTTACTGGATGAGATTGTTGACCTCATGACCAATCTTCCCTCTATCTTTGGCTAACTACCAGCTAGTAGACTCGGAGAGGTATAGGAGTGTGTTGGTCGGGAATCGAACCCGGACCAGGTGCATGTCTGATAAGCATTCCACCCCTAATACATCGATGCACATTTAAAGGAGCTCATGTCCCCTGAGATCTCAACCCGTGTCAACCAGTGCTACAATCACAGACTTTATTATTGAGCTACTCCAGCTTACGACTGAACTCCTGGAGGATTGTGATGGATACACTGATTGGGAACTAGGGTGTAACTAATACTGTTCGTTTAATCCTTGATGTTTACCCAGACTGAATTCTGTCAGTCAGGTTTACAAGGTAATCAGCATGTGCAGTTGGCAGAAAGCCCTGGACCTAGGTTTTAGGATTGTTGGTAGTTGTCAGCAAGGCGTACATGTAATCTTCAAGGAACTCATTTCCCCTCTGAGATTCGAGCCCACATCATCCAGTGCAGCAGTCACAGATGCTAACATTGACTTGTTTGGGTCCTTATGAAGATTGAAAATAGATAATTCGTACAAAATATACCAGATTATTGAAGAAAGAGTGACACATAAACCTGCAATTCAAGGTGATACTGGTTGTGACGTTCTTTAAGGCCTTTAGAATATATCACTAAGTAAAACACTTTAGAGGTCTACTCTAAAAATAGGCTATGTCATTCATTTACTGATGCATTCTGATCCTACGGAAGTTCTCACGGAAATTATTCAGTTCTGTATATCCTTTTATGTTCAGACGCTAGTGCATAGCTAAGCACATAAGGTATTCATCATGAAGAACTTCCTATATCTTTCGACGACATATTATGGTTTAACTGGACAGAATTCAGTGTAAGCTTAGTGACTCATCTACTTTACAATATGTAATTAACCATGAACTATACAGCTTCCGTGTTGATCATCCGGTGGTAAAATAACTGGCCAGTTACGCACTTGGTCCTGGGTTTGATTCCCTGCAAGTAGTAAGCCTGGTAAAGATAGAAAGTTAAGCATGAGACTAGTAACCCCACCCAGTAAAAGTAAAACTGCTGCTACTGAAACCTAAAAGCTTAAAGCGTGAAGCCAAATATTCCACTCGAAACTCGAAAGAATTAAAAAATGTAGCTTCTGAATCATGTTTCAATACTGTTAACAAAGCCAAGATAAATCGGTCAAAAGATGACAAGAGCACACTTGCTTTGCCTAGTGGAAGCTTTAACACTTCATCAGTCTACATGAAGTCAGGACTTTATGTACAAACTAGTTAAAACGTTCGCATTTCATTAATTTACCATCAATACTCCATAATCAACAAAAGAATTCATAAAATGGTGCTCTCATTCTGTTTATTTCATTTCCCTTTATGTCATTACATGAACAATGATTTTGCATTAGGATGGCGGTTATTTTGCTGTCACAGGATCTCTTTATATTTGATTCAAAATTTAAATAAAAAATTTAAGAAAAATAGTAATGAAGAAAAGTCCTGGATTCATGCATAAAAATTCATGAATGTTAACGTGAATTCCTCTACAAACCAACGTCTTCTGATAGACTGTTAAAATACAAGAAGCAGTAGACAATAGCTTCATTCAAGGCCCTTTCATAGCACACATCCAAGACCACATTAGAAACTGAACGGAATCGATTCATGGTAGCAGACCAACACTAAATTTTTCATCTAATGATTCGGAATTTAAATGGTTACGAATTCTCAATTTTCAAATTACTATTTCGAGTGATTACTAACTACTGATATCAGTAAGTAGTGAATAACATCATGGGATTTGATTTATTTTTATTCCTTTGCGTTCCCAGTGGAACACAGGGCTTCAGGCTCGAGCTTTAAAGTTTCAGTAGCAGTGATGTTTTTTACAAGGCGTTGTTGTCAGCCTCATGGCCAGCCTCCTCTATCTTTGTCGAGCTTACAACCGGCGCCTACCGGGAATCAAACCCCAGACCACATTCATGGTCGGCGACCTTCCTACCGCTGAACTATCAATGCATCCATGGGATTTAATTACCAAACGAATTTTAAATTCTGATAATCCATGACATTATTACTGTCAGTATCACTTATATAGTGTTAATGTTTACCATTTGAAGCTTTCAAAACTGGAATTCAGTGATTTACCACAATGTTATTCAACGTGCATATTCGGAGATATATTAACTTCTAGAGAGTTTTAAGAGTTGCAGCCGTCATTCTGATCACACATAGAGTAAGTCTGGTAACAAAACAACCGAGAACCAATTGAAGAACACATTTTTCAGAAGAAAATGAAGGCGGATTGGATAAACGACGAGAAGACCGTTGAGTGAAATCACATTCCAGGCCATCGAGTGGAAACCTAGTGGAAAACGTTAAGTTGGGCATCGGTTCGAGTATGATATGGAGGTGATCGTGTGAGGAGGGAGGAGATGTTAGCCTATGAGCAATAGTGGAGCCAGCAGAAAACGACTGCAGGAAAGACAGTGAAACGGCGACGTGTTTATCCTAAACTTATTCACTGTCATCTGTTTACTGTAGCACCACAGTGCGTTTTTAAAAATATATACTTTTCCGCTGTGGTTATGAAAACAAGATATCTGACGGGAAATTCTCGGTTATTAGATGTATAGATCTATCCATCAGTCTCTTTGTGTGTGTGAACACTATTTTTATATGCAGTGCTTAGTCACCTTGTAACTTCCTACGTCATTTTATTGAAATCATATCGGTTATCGACTTAGAGTCTCCAGTCGTGTAAAAGTAACTTCATTATGCTTAACATTACACAGCAATATCAACATGATAGCGTAAACTAACCATCCTACTGAGTGCCAGTTCCTTAATCACACAATTTACCATTGGTATTATCCAGACTGAATTGTTAAACCTCATTTTGGTATGCCAACTCTAAGCAAATTAAAAGATTCATTCCAGATGAGAAGACGTGCTCGATCTTAATGCTAGTCACTCCGTAGAACAAGTGTCAAAATCTATTTCCAAGATTCATCGTCTAAGTAGAGTGTTTACCTTTTTTGCACCTTTGAGTGTCTGATTAGTCAATTTTGAAACTATTCGACAGTTAGTGATTACCATTGGCATTCAGGATGCGCATTTTGTCCTACTAGGGACCCGACAACTGGATGTACCTGCAATCCCAACCTGTTGAGTTGCAGTGTTCCCATTGAGACTCTAGACCATCACTTGGTACCTCTTGAACAACAGGTGGCTCTCGTGTCCCAAGTAGCCTAGTAGACAACCGTTTGGTGTTTGAAATGAAGGGTGAGGGATTCTAGTCTCTGTGGGAGTAGTGTCAGTTACTGGATGGGGATTGTAGGCGGATCCAGCTGACTTGTTTCAAAAATAGGGAGAAATGCGCATTCTGGAACACTGTGTAAGTCACTGTTCACCATATGATATCATGTAAATCCTCATAGAGCATTGAAGTTTCCGTACTAGGAGATGAAACGACAACAGAAACTGGACGTTTCTGTCTAATATAATCAATCAATGGGAAGTACAAAATTCACTTAAACAGAATTTTCAAATTAGTTTACTTAATTAAGAAAAGAATAACAAGTACTTTAACATTTGAATAGGTAAATAAAGAATATCTTAGCAATTCTAAGAAAGGACGAAATGAATGAATAGAGAAGGTAAATAAAGTACTCAAAAAGAAACACGCAAACACGTAAATAAACACCTCAAATTCAACTGGAAAATAAAGAATGTTCTTTTGTTTTTGTTGTTGACAAATATATAAAATCTGCACTTTTAATGTGAATTTGCCTATTAATGAATGTCATAAAAGTAGTAAATAGTTGTTGATTGAACCAATCAAAATTAGTTGAGTAAAATTTCGATACATATATTTGTCAATTATTCATTGATTCTCTGTACATATATCACTTAGCCATTCTCCGTTTGTCTTAGACACGCACACACACACGCACATACAGACACCTTCATATTGCGAGAAAAGGAGGAGGCGAATGAAGGATTACACCATAAATTTTGTTTAAATGTTTCAAATAAGTTATATTGTTGAAAAAGCGCAAATTGTAAGTGAAGGCATTTTTAATGATTCTCTACACATGTATGTACTCATGTAACTATAGTAACTATAGCATTGATATTTTGTTTTTATTAAGTCTGTGGATTTGTGTATTCGAGTAACCTTGACAGCATACGATTGAATGAAAGTCTTTTATTTTATCTAGTTATTTTTTTCATGAATATGGATTATTTGAGATTGAACTACATGAACTGAACTCCATCATTATTATTCGCATGGGTTCTAAGTGGGACATAGGGCTTGGATAGCAGATCTTTATTTCACTGTGTTCTCTGCAGCGTTTTCTTTTTGAGAGTTAGCTCTATTTCACTCTGAGACCAGAGCCCAACTCATCGTTCGGAATTCGAGTTCCACTCGTGGGCTTGACGGGTAATGTCACTCAACTATCTCCTCAGAATATATCCGATCAATATTCATTTGCTTCTGCATATTTGTTGAGTGATAGGTTGTTGGTTTCGTTTGTTCCCAGAGTTCTTTATTGCTTATCCTTGATGGCTGGTCATCTGATGTTCAGTATGGAGTTAGTGAAGGCAACTGTTGATGAAAGTCCGCAATAGGCTGTTGGAATTTACTATTCGTGACACTAGCACCAAGTCCGTGAACCATAGAGAAGCACTGACTTAACATTAGCGGTGAACAGAATTTGGATCTTGTTTACAGGATTTCATCATGAGCTGACATCAGTTAGAGAGCCATTGGAAAACCTTGGAGTACTGAAAGCTGTTTCATCCTAGCTTGGGACTCTTCATCCGTAAGCACCACCCGCCACCAGGGTTCGAATTCAGGACCTTCTGGTTACAAGACGAGCTCGTAGACCATTCAGCCACTGGGACCCGATCAAAGTGGCCCATGAATTCCGAATTCTGCCAATTTGGATCTTGTTCTTTATGCTGACTACAGCAGATTTCCACACGAATTTCAGGTGAATGAACGCTCGTCTTTCTTTCTGAATCCTGCCTTTATTAGTCAAATCATTTTCGCTGGATAGCTTTACTGATCTATAAATTCTTATATTTTCTAAGCATCTTAGTGTCGTCATTAGCCAGTGTCAACTTGAAGAATCGATTAAAACAAGGGGTGAGTACATGTGTGTTTGGTACCGCTAGTCAGGAATTCTAACTAGTTAGGATATAAGTATTTAAGATGAGCTTCAGACTAAGACGAAAAATCTTTTCAGAATTATTTGTTTCTTAACTGATTTGATTCTTTATGAAATGTATTCTTTGAGTATCCCGAAATATGCGGATAAAAGTTTTGGATGCAGTTGCTTCAGTTACCTTCTTAACTAACATAATAACACTGTCATGATATGTACTATATAATTTTAGTAAAATATTAGTTGGAAGTGAAGAAATCTTATCAACTTTTAACCAACTGACTGACCCGGCAATTCCGATTATATTATGGTAAGTCATTTCTGTTAATATGAGTATATTGCTTCCATATTTAATTAAATTCCAGCAATAAGTAAGTGTTCTTTCGAGTTGATCACGGATTGATATCAGTTAGAGAACCATTGAAAACCAGTTGGGAGTGCTGGACAGCTGTTTCATCCAAGTTTGGGGATCATTGGCAGTACGCACCTACCACCAGGGTTCGAACCCAGGACCTTCTGGTTACAATTCAAGCTCGTATACCATTCAGCCGCTGGGACCCGACTCCCCAGTGACAAGCACATGAATTCTAACTTCTACCAATTCGTGATTTAGCGCGACACCAACCAATGTCATCGGCAGGAAATCCATCCTCACACTTGACTGGATGGACCTCACTGGGTGCGTACTGCCGATAATTCCCAAACTAGGATGAAACAGCTGTCCAGTACTCCCTGCTTTCAATGGTTCTCTAACTGATATCAATCCGTGATCAACTCGTAAGACCAAAACTAATCCTTAGAAACCAACTATAGAAAATAAGTAAATGTGTTTACGAATCTGTCCTGTATACATTTTTCATACGATAATGTCTAGGTTGATTCACTGATGACAGCAATTCTAGTGTAATTAGAAAGAAGCTTAGTGTGTTATAGAGTAAAGGCAGTCCTTTTTTCATTTTTTTACGTTTCGAGAAGGGCATAGGGCTTCAAGCTTGAACTTTGAAGTTTCAGTAGCCATGGTGTCCTTTTTACGGGAGGAGGTAGGGTTGCTTACCTCACATTCTCTTTCGTTGGTTCTGGGAATTGAACTGAATCACTGACTCAAAGACAGGCTTTAGAATTCCCCGAATAGCCTGTTTATATATATTATTTATATTAAAACGTTTCAGTGAAATCCATCATTACCTGGTTTATGAACTGTCTACATCTAAGATATTCAATTGAAAAGCAAAATCTTGTGTGACTAGTTTAAATAGGCTAGTCAATTGACTAATGAGAGACTGGGGTGATTGTTGTGGCCTGATGAACCGTGAAAATGAGTCATGTCACAGTTCTGATTCTGTCCTGATTAAATTTTATCTTTCTACATATTTTGTAATTGCCATTTGAAGAGTCGTGGGATTTCTAGACTCCATATTACATCTTACACTGGTAAATGTTCAATTTCTTCAAAAGATTAGAGGTCGTTTTGAATTTAAGACAAAAATGTATTATTAATTTCAAGTATATTATTCATAAGAATACAGTCAAATGTGAATTTTTTAATAAAACGACAAGTTGGGCTGTGGTCCGAAGGTAAACATGGCGGAGATCGTGTGAGAGGGAGATGAAAGCCTATGGGCTATCGTAAACCCAGCTGAAGAAGACCACGGGGAACAGGATGAAATAGATATGTTCTGCTGAATCCCTTTGTTCCACTTGGAACCCAAAGGAATAATGATAATAGTATTGATCTCTCTGTTTCTGTATTTAAGACCGATCATTCCTAATACCATTTTTGAGAAATGTGAAATGGGCGGTATGTGGTATAAGGCAAGGCCGTCTACCATTCAGACACTGGGACCCGGTTCAGTAGCCCAATTCATGGTCCTGGGTTCGAAACCCAGTGAGTGCGTACTGCCAATGATTCCCAAATGTGAAATGACAAAAAAGTAGACACAACTGTGTATAAAAATTATTTAAGGCCTTGTGTTCAGCATCCTGTTAACTATCTGTCTGTCTGAAGTACTTAGCACATTCATCATTTAGAACGATTGTTGTTAGTAAACGATTTTCTCCGTACTTAACATTTTTGTTGTTGTTGTTACTGTTGTCAGGAGGATACTGTTGAGAAAAAAGAAGGCGAGGAAGAAAAACCTGTTAGTAGACAGAATAGTCAAGAGCTGAAAGATACTGTCATCAAAAGTATGCTACTTTTTATATATCTCCTTTCATTTTTGTCTTATGTATATTTCAAAAGACTGATTACTGAACAAAGAATATTCTTTGCGATAACTTTATCAGGCTTTACAGTTATATATACCTAATAATAACTATGGGATTAGTGTAATGAACAACATTAATGTTTAAATAACACCGAATCAATAATATTGATAGATTACAGCTGAACAGCATCAACATAACATAAGCAAAATGTCAGCAAAATTAGGAAAGAAAATAGTACAAATTCATGAGTTTATAGTCTCTACTGAGGGCCAGGGCGGTAGTAGCGGCTCGACTTGTTTCTTTTGGACACTGGTTGTTTGAGGCGAATTACAATAGCCTTTGCTGTTTGGAGCATGCAGTGCTTCGACGATTTTGGTAGTTTGTTAGGCACCCGGTATATTATATAGAAGGATTCTTCTACGCTGGCTTTGTGACCAGTTTGCACCAGATGGTCTAATATCGAGCTGTTAATAGTTTTAACTACACCTTTACTTAGCCATAGTGGGATATGTTCTCGAGCACGAAAAATCAAGTTCCTAGAGCAACGGCCAACATAACTCGCTCCACAAGCGCAGTTGAATTGATAAATACAATTTGAAGTGGCTAGTCTGGGTACTTCATCTTTCAGTCGAGGTGCCACCATCAGTAGTGTAGAGAATAATACGTGTAGTTCGCCACTATAAAAATTATTATCATTACTGACGACATTCTTGTTGGCATCGAATCATTGGCATCAAATTTCAAAAGTTATATACAAACAGACTGTTAATAGATAATTTAATGGTGACTTGTCAAGTGAAATTTTATTCCAGAGACTTTCTTGGAGTATACGAAGAACGTTCTATGCAATAAAAGAAGGATAAGCTAGATAGTTCTGCCAAATCTTTGTGTATTTATCAGTTCAACTGCACCTGCGGTGACAGTTATATCGGGCGTACTACTAGACAGCCTAGCCAGAGTGTTAGTGAACATCTCCCATCGTGGTTTGGCAAGGGACAGACAAAAATAATCTATAGCTCCATTTTGTCACATTTAGTTGGCAGTGGTCATATAGTGGATAAAACGAAAGGCTTCAAGGTAATTCATCGCGTCCCACAGAAATTTTCCAATAGACTTCGTATTCGTCTACTGCACACAGCTGAGGCTATAGGCATTTGAACTATTAAACCTACACTATGCATTCAAAAGAAGTTCGTACAGCCACTATCCCTTCCTTCCTCTATTATGACCTAACCAACTGGTGACTTCTCCACCACCCCTTACTTATGTTTGCGACCCCTCTCTTATCATCCCTTAATCTTATCACATCTTCATTAAAACGCATTCATATACTTCCCTTACAATCTAGCATTACGCAATCGGTCCATTTTGTTTTTATTAGCCTTCATCGACTACTTCTACCTGAACATTTGTTTCTTTAATTAAGCTGCTTTTAGTTATTGTTGTTATCATAGATCACCTCACTTTTTCATCTATATTTTAGACAGAATCGTTATTTTTCTATGGTTGGTTTGTAAGGATTAGCTTTGTTTTTACGAGTTGATCGCGGATTGATATCAGTTAGAGAAGCATTGAAAACCCATCAGGGAGTACTGAACAGCTGTTTAATTCTAGTGGTCGCGGTAAATCACGAATTGGTAGAAGTCAGAAATAATGTGCCATTGGATAGAGTCCCAGTGACTGGAAGGCATACGAGTTTGCCTTGTAACGGGAAGGTTCTGGGTTCGAACCCTGTGAATGAGTGCGTGCAGCCGATGATTCCCAAAACTAGGATGAAACAGCTGTCCAGTAGTCGTTACTGGTTTTCAATGGTTCTCTAACTGACATCAATTCGTGTCCAACTCGTTGAAGCGTTATTATTATCATTACTATTATTATGACTAATTTCACAATTTAAATTATCCTATTGGCAAAATAACGTGACTGGTTTATATTTAAATTTTATTTGCGAAGTTATGTATGTTAAGCCTGTTGAGATCTAATTGACAACAATATTGTTCGCTTAAATGTGTTGTTTACATCGATAATCCTTTAAAACATGTGTATGTGATTTATGCATAAATGGGACACCAGTATTCCAAAGTAAATGATCATCATTAATAACGAATGTATAGTAATAAATGCTCATGACTAGTGTTCATATTGATTGTAAACCTCATATGGATGAGTGATAATATCAAAACAGGGAGAGAAAATGGGGTAGAAGGTTTTATGTATATGTCAAGTTAAGTTTGAATGAGAAAGCAAAAGGTTTTTTTTATGTAGGCGAATTTATGTACACAGGATGGAAAGTCACGCCTAAAAGGCCGATGTAATACAATATTTATGAATTTATAGATTCCATAGTGGGCCAGGTTAGCAGTAATGGCTGTCTTACACGAATTGCCGTAACCTCTTCTGTTTGGATTATTCGGTTTCGGCAATCTATCTGGTACTCGATAGATGATGGAGAAAGATTCTTCACTGCTGGCTTTATGGCCTATTTGGATCAGATGATCTAATATTGAACTGTTGGTAATTTTCAATACACCTTATCCAACCACAATGTTAGGTGTTCCTAGAGTAACAGCCAATATAACTGACTCCACAAACGCAATTAAATTGGTAGATAAAATTAGAGGTAGCTAGCCTAGGTACTTCAGTTCTCAGTTGAGGAATCAGAAGTGGTCGTGTGGAAAATATGACTGGCACTTTACCACCACTAACAGTTCTTTGAATCTACGTTGTTTACGTCGTCGGTGGCAGTGATTCTCTAACTATTATGGATATCTAACTATAGAACCTGGTCAAGAAGTTATCGAAATGAATACTCTTTGTTCAGTAATCAGTCTTTTGAGATTTCTAATGGGCATATTTGATCAGTTATGCGTATTTATTTGTGATTATTTAATAAAACTGATATCCACTGCGAATGACGTAGTTCTTGTGACTCAGTATTCTATCTGTCATTTAGTAAGATGGGTTCTCAGTTCAAGTCTTAGTAGAAACACCACCACTCAGTGGAAAGCAGTAACATCCAGCTTATAGGTTCTAAATAGCATGGAATATACTTCCTGGATTCTACTTTAAGCCATCACTGAACAAGTAACGTCAAGTAATTATTCATTAAAAGCCTCTGTTAAAGAAGTGCCGGTACCAAAATGAATAAGTGCGGATACACAAACGTGGGCAGTCAGAAGTATAGATAGAAAATTTCAATTCATACTGATTGCATTAAAGATGGCTAGCGCGGCTCACTACACTACCGTACAACATTTTGCCGTTCGAACCAGAGGGCGTATCAGCTGGAACAATATGGCTTAGTGGGATGCAAAAACAAAAGCCGAAACATATGTCCCTCCACCGCTGGTCACCATCAGTGAGGTATAATATTTATATATTTCTCATTTCATTTAACTAAGTGAAATAATATCGGTGGAACCTTTTGTTAAATATTTTTAAGATAAAATTTTATACTACTTAATTATGTGAGTAGTTGCAGTTATTTTAATAATACCATTATGATATAAATACGTTTTTAATAATAATAATTTGAATAATTAAACACTATAAGATAGACATGAATTCTCAGTATGATTCAGCAGTTCCCTCGGGCAATTTAATTAAACCTGGAACACAGGGTTTCAACAACATATATTCGTTTCATCCTGTTCTCTGCAGTCCTCTTTAGCAGGCGCCACGACTACATCTGAGAACTCATCTCCTAGTCAAATGATTTCTTCTGAAACCCAAGCCGTCGTTTCTCATTCATGTTTCACTCGAGAGCCTGCAACGTGATTCCACTCAACGATAGCGTCAACATGGGCCTGACATACCAGGAGATGAGGGATTATACTATTTAGTGACGGCTTTCTTGGAATTTTCTTGGATACACAGTCACCCGAAATTGATATTCAACTTCTGTGCCCGACTCTAGATTATTCCTGTAACTTTTCTAACTTCCACCAACAGACTTAATGGCATCATTAGTCCTTTCATATACTATAGTATGTGAGTATTTGCAAACACATACTGAAAGTATTTTAGATTGTATGCAGTTGGTAAGATCCAATGAAATAAAATGGTGTTATATTATCCGGTTCAATCTGCTATTCCTCCTTTGTTCATGTTTATCAAGGGAAAGAATTTTTATAAAATCGAGTACATTGCTGATGTGAGAATAGCATGAAGTTTGCAATTGATAGTGTTCTCTGAGCTGGTTGGTTTAGTTGCAAAGCTTTCGTCGTCCTTCTGGACAACATTTTCAGCGCCATATTTAGCACAAAGTGAAATGATTTAAATTTTTTCATGAGTGATATAATTGCCTCTCCTGGTAGCTATCTTTACATATGTATTGACCATTTTCTATTGACTTGGCTTCGCAACTAAACCAACCAGCTCAGAGAACACTATCAATTGCAAATCATCCACGTGAGCTACAAATCTTCTCTATTATTTCAATAGCATGAAGTCGAAATCTGTTACACGGAGAAGACATGAACATGTATGGTAAAGCTTTGATATGATTATTAGCAATAAATGATATCTGAATTGTCATCCAGTAATCAATACTATATCACTGCTTATTATAAAAAGAACTTATCTAATACAGAACTATCTATTCTACTACAGTTCCCGAATTCTGCATTTTCACTGAACTTTACTGTTCGTCTGAAAACATTCATTTTGCTTTGATTGGACACTAGTAACTAGTGCGATGTGTCGAGTCCTTTCTTTGGTGCAGACTGAATTCTATCAGTCAGTCAAGTTTGTAATGTGGCCACCATGCCACTAGGTAGCTCGCCATCACGGTGCACATATTGATTTGATGATATTAGATGGTTGGAGGCAATTGGCAGGAAGCCCAGCCTGACCTAGGTTTCATGCTAGTTGGCAATCGTCAGCAACCAAAACTATCCAGTACAGTCCTACAGGAGGTCGGTTGCGAGCCCGAATCGTTTATTAGTGACGCCTGCAACTGCAGCACTGGGTGACGCAGGTTTGAATCCCAGAAGGGACATGAATTCCTTCAGGGTTGTGGATACGCCATACTGACGAGTGCCAACTAGCATGAAACCTAGGTCAGGCTGGGCTTCCTGCCAATTGCCTCCAACCATCTAATATCATCAAATCAATATGTGCACCGTGATGGCGAGCTACCTAGTGGCATGGTGGCCACATTACAAACTTGACTGACTGATAGAATTCAGTCTGCACCAAAGAAAGGACTCGACACATCGCACTAGTTACTAGTGTCCAATCAAAGCAAAATGAATGTTTTCAGACGAACTGTAAAGTTCAGTGTAAATGTAGAATTCGGGAACTGTGGTAGAACTTATGGTTTGGTTTTAGATAAGTCTTTTTATAATACACAGTGATATAGAACACGTTCCGAAGTTGCTGCAACAACAAATAAAATCGCCAGACACAATTGATCCGGGAAATAGATGTCCAACATCATCCATAGGGAAGCACAGGATAGAGACTGGTCATAAGGTTGATTTTAACAATGCCTATAAGCCCGCATAAAAAAAAAGTTGGGTCACATATTTAAATTCTTTGAAGCCTAAACCATAAAAAGACTTAAACCTGTCTTATGTGTCCAAAAGTTATTTGTTATTACTTTAAATCTGCCTTGGTAATCCAATTTAGAACCAAGGATCCATTTACTTCATAATATTTTCAACCCCTTCTTTGCCTTATTTTTTTCTCTTTTTATGTTTCTTACTCAGACCTTTGAGTTTCCCCAACCATAATTTGTGACCTTGATCTGTACACAATCTGACCTCTATTGTAATTATTCATGTCTTCTTGCCTTCCAATATAAACTGCGTATGACAAGAACGTGTGTGATCAGAATGTCTGAAATGTGTTTCGTAAATACATTTCACGTTTCAAACAGCATTCATTTTGTTTATCCATTTTGCAAGTGACATTTCTCTCTGATGCGGTAACCCATATTATTATTTTATCTATTCCTTTGAAGGTATTTACGATTCAACAGCATCCGCAAGAAGTAGGAAAGTCACTCTAAGTCAGATATGTCGTTGTCTGCAAATGTTAAATCAGTGTCCAACACAGGCTGATTTAAATAAAATTTATTCTGATTATACACCTGATGATATGGAAGAGGCTAAACCAGGTAAGCATACTTGTATACGTTTTTACGAGAAGGTATCAACTAGCCATGTTACAGTAATATTTTCCTCTTATTATTGTTATTTCATTTCATTACCAGGTAAATAAATGGCAATAATTTATTTTACAGTTGACTTTCAGACTATTTGAGATGGATTTTGAGTTTATAAATAATGCATTAGCTGTTAGTTGGTGGATGGTGACTAGCAGTGGAATCCAGGATGCAAATTTCGTCCTATTTGGGACTCGTCAACCGGATGCACCTGCACTCCTCAGTGAGTGATGATGTTCCCACCGAGGCTCGAGGCACAAGGAGTGGCTCTCGTGGCCCAAGTGGTCTAATAGATAGCGCTTTGGAGTTTGAAACTATGGGCACTGGGTTCGAGCTTCGGTGAGAACATCATCACTCAATGGGGAATGCAGGTACATCCAGAGGACGAGTCCCGAATAGGATGAAATGCGAATCCTGGATTCCACTGCTAGTCACCATCCACTAATTAACTTCTAATTACATGCTCAGACATAGTTGAAGCATCAGCACAAGAAGCCGACATGTCAACCTGAGACCGAGCACTTCAATTCAATCAGTCGATAGGAAAATGTAAAATTGAATTAAATAATGCACTAGCTGCTTAGCATAGGATCTAATAGGTTCGTGGTAGAGATGGCTTGCAGTTTAGGTGATGGTGTTTTAAAGATTATTGTGTGTTCTATCCGTTAGGATGGTTTAACTGAAAATTTTTCATTATCCTTCTAGACAATGTACTCAGAAATTCACTACTGAAGATGTTGTTGAGAAGGATAATTTGAGCACTTTGCAATTCATTCCTCCTATCTTAGATACCGTAATAACCACAACCAAAACTTGGGAGAGAATTAATGTTATTAGTGGTTTTAAATTCGATCAAAAAGTCAAACTTAGGAGAATACCGATTAATTTTCATGATTATTCATATTTTACTGAGTAAAATTACTATAGAATAATAGCATTTCGTAAAATTGATGAAACTATACTATTGTGGTGGTGTAATACAAACAATGAGCTCCAACGGAATATGATCCCCACATATTCCCACAGTTCAATACAGAATTAGCAATAGATTACGATATATCTCTTTGAACATAAACCCTCAAGTCAACCTATTAAATCGAAGGCTCCCAAGGAAAGCACAAAGAAAATCACCCTACCATATATAATGGACATCTCAGAAAACACTGCAAAACTTTTTAAACCTGTAGGAATTGACGTGGCACACAAACCAACAAAATCACTTTACTCAGCTGGCTCTATGTAAACCAAAAGATTCAACAGCGAAAGAAGATAAAACCAACATCATCTATAAAATAAATTGTAACAACTGTGAAAAATACTACATTGGCCAAAGTGGACGTCCCTTTCGTCTTCGTATACACGAACATAAGCTAGCCGTCAAAAGACATGACATCCACTCCTTCATATTGCTGCAAACAGACAACCACGGACATCAATTCGACTGGGACAACCAACGCTCAAATATTAGACAGAGGAAGCACCGAGAGTGCTAGGGGATTTTCAGAAGCCTGGTATTCCAGTGAATCATCAATCAATAGACACATCAACATATACAAAATATGCCAGCCGATAAGAAGGAAATCTCACAGACAAAGGATCAGACTTCAGGTCAAGGAAAAAATCAACACCAATAGCAATACAAGTAGCCTAGAACGTGTGAAAACACACGAAAATAACCAATCACGTTCAAGGTTACCCACCAGGAGAGATGACTAATAAACTCGTGGGGAAATCTAAAAGCACACTTCACACTGAAGTATGCGCTGAAGACATCACCTAGTAGGGTGATGAAAGCCTCTCAAATTAACTACCCAGCTCAGAGAACACAACTACATCAAAATCATCCACCTGAGCTACAAATCTTCTCCATCATATCTATTTGAACATACTGTTTTTTGCTTTCTCACAGTTCACTACTGCATTAGCAACAGAATGCTATATGTATATTTGAACATTCTATTTCATGTCGTTTAATGTAAGCCAAAATCACACGCTCAATGATTGGTTGGAGAATATAAAACTGTACCCATATAAATAGCGGTTTGATCACCTGAAAATATACCTTGAATTCCGTGTCTTGTCTTCTGTTGTTACACTATGAGCATGGTGAAACACAATATATACCTTAGTAGAATTGACTTGAATGGTAAATTAACATTACAAACACACACAAAATAATCATAAATTATGAATCGGAAATATTCCATTACTGAGGACACGTCATTATGCTTCTTAAGGAATCGAAGGGGAGAGTGGAACTGACATAATTATTAGAGTTATGTTGATCATTACGAATAGTACAACAACAACTACTACTAATGCTAGTAATAATAATATTAATAAGGAATGACTTCGTCTGGGCTAATACATTCGTTCATGATTGTGTGTATTTAGGAGAGCAGAACAGTAATATATGGATGTTCCAGTTTACTCTTATTTAAGTAGTATATGTCGATGTCTATGTATGTGAGTGTGTGCGTGCGCTCGCGCTCATGTGCGTGAGCTCATTTACATCAAAATGATTTATGTGGAATTTTCATTTTAAAAACCGTTTTTCTTCATCATAAATTATGACAATTTCTTTTAAAAATTCGTTTGTTTCTCTTTTCAGTCTTTTTTATTTTTTCAACTACTATTCATTTGTTTGAATAATAGTTTATTTGTTTAGGTAAAAAAAACATAAGTAATTCTTGATGATTAAATACTCTTAATTTTTGAATATATTTATTGCATACAGCAGTCGAGCCTCAACTTGTTGAAAAGCTAGAGATATATGAAGGAGACTATATGGTGAAATTTCACCTCAAAACTGCATGAATTGCAAATTGCGAATTCGATTCTCAACGTATTTCACCGATTCGCCTGAGCAGGTAGATAGAAATTGCAGGGGTTTCAGCTGATGCAGCTCTATGATTTCAGTCAAACAGGAAGACACCGCTGATGATCTAATCCTGAAATGGATGATTTGGTAATTAGGTGTTTAAGTCACTTCGATCTGGTTGCCTAGCAAGTATTACTGGCTGATATGAGTGATATTCAACTACCATAAGGTCGGTGAGCGTTCTAACCGCTATGCCACCGACGCACTCATGTCAAACAATTAGTAGTTTATGCTTAGTTTCTTGATTTCCATTTATAGTATCAAGGAGATCGGTTCGGAAAGGGTACTGTGGTGAAATTTTATCTTGTACTATACAAACGTCAAATTGTGAATTCGATTTGATAGTGACTCTGTATTAAATACTGAAGCGAATCAAAAAAGAAAGCTCAATTTGAAGACAGAATTAAATCCAGTTTCATTGTTAAGAAAAACTGAAAATCTGAAGGCATTTTTTCAAGAAGAATTTTAGGATTTATTTGATTGAAAAAGACTGAACTAGGAGTACATAGGGAGGGTACAGAAGAGGCTTAAAGGAAGCATAAAACACTTCAGCTATGTGACTTATTTTCAGGATGAATTCGTTCACGTGACTGCGTAGTCAGAGTTATATGTAATCATCTTTGTGTGTGTTTGTGTGTACATTCAGTTTGTCAAATATAACAAACAGAAAGACAGAAATGAATTAGTGTTTGGAATACTGTCTATGTTATTAAATTATTTTGAAACAGTGAAGAGTACTCAATCTCTCTAACTATAGGTGTGAAGATTAATGAGTTTAGACTAAAACTTGCGTAATACGAAAAAATAACGTTTGGAAAAGTTGGCTGTTAATAGAAAAGAGCATAGGGAGAAGTATATTACGTAACAGGTGAACAAAATAGTTAGCTTATTGTAATACCAGAAATACAAGACAAAAAATAATAAAAAAAATACAGTAGGGATAGAAAAATTCGGATAACAGTTGAGTATGAAATTAATTCTAAATTAGAAGAGATCGGTGGAAAAGTTTCAAGGTTTTCCACATGAATGGCAAGAGCCTCAGTAATCCAAAGAATACGGAAACATAACGTTTTAGAGAGACTTACTTAGACTTTGTAGATACATTTGGATGAGTTTACCCTAGAGTTTAATTCAACAGTGTTGAATATGTGTTTGATTATAGCACCCTGCATCACAGCAGCCCTGCTGGATAATATTCCTTGACTCATTCAAATGAAACATGCAGTGAGTAACCTACATATATATGTATATGTCGCTAAACAGGAACAAGTGATTTTGGTGGATGCACACAGAAGAGTTCCAATGAGATAACTTACATTTCTAGTTATTACAGAATATTGTGTGAAACCAACACACGTAATTCAGAGAAGAGTAACTTTTCGCAGAATTCATCCTTCTTAGTTGTACAATCGCAAATATATATGGGTTATTTTATATTCATGTGTTGTTGTTGTTGTTGTTGTATCCTTCAATTCCTACAGGAACATAGGGCTTCAGCCACACGTCTCCATTGCGTTCGGTTCTCTGCCAACATTTTCACCTGACTCCAAGTCTACCCACACACCTTCATCTCCTCTTCACATGACCTTCTCCAAGTCACCCTTAGACGACCAAATCGCCGCTTCCCTTTCCGGTTCCACTCGAGCAATGGCTTGTCTAGTGATGTCACTTGATGGTTTCCTCAGAGTATGACCAGCCAATCCATCTCCATTTCTTCCTGCCTATTTGTTTCACAATCGGTTCCTGGTTGTTCCGCTCCCAGAGATCCCTCCCTGTTGCTGATCTTTTCTGGCCGGCCATCTGATCTTGAGTATTGAGCGAAGACAACTGTTAATGAAGGTCTGTAGTCTGTTTGAGATGCTCTTTATGACGCGAAGTGCAAGTCTCTCATCCGTATAGTAGCACTGACTTCACATTGGAGTTGAAAATCCGGATCTTATTTTTGATGCTGAGTGTTGTTGATCTCCACACAGACTTGAGAGTAATGAAAGCTTGTCTTGCTTTTCCGACTCTTGCTTTGATATCCTCGTCAGTTCCGCCTGTAGTTGAAACGATGCTTCCAAGGTAGGTGAAGGAGGTTGTTTCTTTCAGGTTCCTTCCATTTATGCTGATTGTTGTCTGTTGTTGTTGTTGCTGTTGGTGGTGTTGCTCAGGAATCTTCATCACCTCTGTCTTATCTATGTTCACCTGAAGTCCTATCTTTGATGTTTCTTCTGCTAACTTGTTGCTTTTCGCTTGCATATCTTCCAGACATATATCATCGGCGAAGTCAGATCCTCCAAGTATTTTGTATGAGTCCATTTTATGCCTGTTTCCTCACTGCCCACTACTTGTCGCATTATCCAGTCTACTGCAATCAGGAAAATCATTGGCGATAGTAGGCAGCCAGCTTGTCTTACTCCTGTCCTCACTTCGAAGAATTCCGTAAGTTTCTCGTTGTGCGTTGGTGGCACAGTGGTTAGGACTCTCGCCGACCATGCACATGGTCCGGGGTTCGATCCCCTACCGACGCACACCCGATATCTATGGTCGGCCTGAAATTTGGGCTACCGATATCCATGCTGAAAATTCCATACTTGTACTGAAAATACGGTGTGGAATTAAGCTGTAATCAAAATAAAAAAAATAAAAAGATTACTTGACATGCAGCATTGTCGTACAGCTGTTGGATGAGATGTATAATTGTCGGTGTCACCCCGTAGTAGGGAAGTAGTTTCCAAATCACCTCTCGATTGACGCTGTCAAAGGCCTTTTCAAAGTCGATGAAGTTAACATAGAGAGGTGACTGCCATTCCAAGCTCTGTTCAATGATGATCCGTAATGTGGCGATCTAATCAATGCATGACTTGTTTCTCCTGAATCCAGCCTGTTCCGGTCGAAGTTTTTCATCCAGGTTGGCATGTTTGATTCTCTCCAGGATGATGCGGCTTAGTATTTTGCTTGGGATGGATAGGAGCATAATTCTGCGCCAGTTCTCGCATTGACTTAGGTCTCCTTTCTTTGGTAGTTTAAATAAGTATCCTTTCTTCCAATCCATATTCATGTGTACATTAAGTTTATCAAACGCAAAATACGATTGGAAGTTAACTGGTGGATGGTAACTAGCAATGGAATTCAGTATGCTTATTTCGTCCTATTTGGGACTCATCACTGGATGTACTGAGCACTTTGGTCCAATCGGTTGACGGGAAAATCTAAAATTGAATTAAATAAAAATACTGCTGGTTATGGTTATTTTAACTAAACGGGTGGGAATTTGTGAGTTTTGGATGGAATTACATAATACAAAACAGTCAAGAAAATTGGGTGTTAATGAAACTAGGGTAGTAACAAAGGTGATGAGTTATCATAAACAGTTGTTAAAAAGGAGCTATGCAATAATGTGATGATTGAGTTGTACTCAGGATGCAAACAGAAACAAAGTAGAGAATACGAAATTACGTAAGAGTTTTAAATGAATACAAGAATTATAAGCAATTAAATAAATAGGCAAACAAACAAAATGAAGTCATCAAAAATCAACAAAGTTTCTACCATGAAATGAGAATACCACTCTTAGTGTAGATGCAAAGGACGATCTTTTCAGAACGTTTGACACTTTCCACTTTAGAGTGTCGGCCGAAAAGTCACCTTCAAAGGCTGCATTCACGTATGACATCTTTGGATCAGATACTTAAGAGGTATTATCAGATTTCTTTAGCGACTTATGAGTACGCAACTGCAGAAATCTTTAACCGGGTCATTCAACTTGGGTATTCTATACACTGATCTCATCAATGTCAAATGAAGCTTGTTGGTCAGTCTGACATCCAGAAAGGAAATTATATGTCTCGTTTCTACATCACTTCTGAATTTGATGGATAGTTAGCTAATACTGGAAATCTGTAGGAAGACAATTATGTCATATTTATTATAACAAATGATAAACGTATAATCAACTTACGTTCTGAATAGAAAAAGCGGTCGATACACCTCATTTTATCAGGTCGTTTATCAATGTTTCCATGCAATTGTCTGCACGTAACGAACTTAAATGTGACCTTAAGTCTCCGCCGTCTTATTTTGCGCTAATTAAACTATTGAAAGTAAACTGAACGTTGCAAAGGCATAGAAGTAGAAGTTCTTTCAACCTGGAAGTTGACATTCCAACATTCAAGTCTTTATCTTCCAAGTATTTGCACAGGGGAGTGAAGAGTGACTCGACGTTAAGTGATATCATGCATTTCTCGCCTACTCTCACTTCTTCAACGCACTTGATGAATTAAAATGCGTCCAAAAGAGAGTACGTCGAAATTCATTCTCTAAAAGCCTGTAGAAGTTCTGCTAGCCATTTCACAACTGAATGGCAAGCGGATGCAGACATATCCAGAACTGTGCCCAAAGGTAGTCCGCCTTTATATGTTTTCGAAAACCCAAACAAGTGCAGTTTTATTGAACCGTTTGACCAAATGTATTTGCAGACATCCTCTGTGATTAACTCATCATTTTTTAGCCTTCTCAATATTTTTGTGAATTGAGTTTCACCAAGCTCACGGTTTTATCCTTCTCTTCATTAGAAGCAGGGAACTTATTTTTGTTTCTAAGTATTGCCAACATCTTGTCAACGTAGAGTTTTCTATCCACTGAAACTATATCTGCGTGGGTCGGTGATTCTGGGGCAGAATGCACGCCAACCACGCACGTAGTCCGGGCTACTTCTCAGTTAGTTCAGTTGTTCCTTATATTCTTTGTTCAAAAGATTATTGTTCTTAAACTTTTTATTAAGATACTAGTGGCACTAAATATATGAGAATTATTTAGACTTGATAATTAATGCCAGTCAATTGTACTTACTTATTTAAACAATATTTTTAGACTATCAACGAGAATTTTTGACAGACGTGTAAATTTCCTGTTTCCTATTCACCTCGCTTATCAGCACTTATTAATATTTCTAATTTCAATTTATAGAAACAATCCTATTGGATTTAGAAGACTTCACTGAGATAATTAAAACATATTCACGTACAAGAGATGAACGCTGGAATCAGATAAATAATGCATTTCTTGTGAGTAAATTTAATATGAATTTATTTATGCAATAATGTCATTATTATTAATATTATTACTATTACCAATATTTATCTAATACCTTTTTATTTCTTCATTGTTAATACGCCTACCCTTTCCCTCCGTTTCATTTAGTATTTTGATAAACTTGAATCTGGTGTCGTGGACACAGAGCCAATGAGAACTATGCTGTTAACGGTTGGTGACTGCTTAACAGACAAGGAGTGTAATGAATTTTTTAAAGAAGCTGCGCCTGGATCAGATGGAAAATGGCCATATGATGGTAGGTTGTCCTCACTTACTTCTGATGTGAAATTATAGTGCATAACAAATACTTAACTAACTAACTAACTAACTAACTAACTAACTAACTAACTAACCAACTAACTAACTAACTAACTGACAGGTTGGCTGACTGACTAGCTAACTGAAAAATAATAATAAAGATAATTAAAGATGAAGTGAGAAGCATGCGTGTCATTAGCTTCAATGGAAACCACTAACGATAAACTACTGACGGTAGCTGGTACTGTCAGGTTAGGAGGAGACATTTGTTTCATTAATTTGCATCCCGTGTGAGCAGAAATGCACAGGAGAAAAGATGGTAACATGGAAAAAGATGGGGATTTAGTTGATCTAGGAGATAACAAAAAAATGATTGGATATGGGCCAACGAAAGCCATTTTGTCATCAATAGTCTTCAGACACTTATTTTTAGAATCTCAAGGATTCCAACCATACAGCTTACACCTTTTCACGTGGCTAAAACCAACTGTCAAAGACTTCATGGAATGATGACATTTTTCAGTTTGGCTCTTTTCAAACCTAATCATGTACAGACAATCTATCTTTAATTCCTGGCTGATGAATTATGACGTTAGACGGGAGGTGTTTGTGATCATCATGGTTTTTGAGATGACTATCCACTATGCAGAACATATTCTATCTAGGCGATGTATGCTTTCTAAAGGTTCTCTTTTTGACTGCCGATATATATTCATTTTGAATAATGAAACACTTCGTGAACTTGTTGATTGAGAAACAACTTAAACAACTGATCAGTGTTTCAGAGCTTTGAAAAGAATGTGTATGGAGAACTCTAGGATTCAACGTACTTCATTATACTATCGAATATACGATTTCTTTGGGATCGAGCAACACATTAGTAACATTTCTGAATACAGCAGAGGAAGACGCAGATTCGAAATGTCTAGTGGACATCACTTTCTTTAAGGTCGTAGATATGCCCTGTTGACGATCACGAAACCTATATCCAGGTTTCCCTGTCTTCGGCGGTTGTGTACAAACTGACAGAAAATATAATACATAGGTTACCGGATTCCATCATTGTGTCTTGTTTAAAAGGAATTGACTGTAGTCATTGAGATACCTGAGTAGATTATAGTTTGAGCAATGCTACAAAAACAGGAACAAACTATCTACCCAATAAAACTTGAGTCTTACTGCTTTTATAGTTGTATAGCCAGTCTATGAGGTTTACTGTGTGAATAAGCGAACTTCTACAAATCTAAAATAAAAGTATGTATTCATGTAGCACTCACATTCAATATATATATTGAGAAATGTTAAGTTTAAAAAATTTCTGAGTATTTTGTTAGCTTTCAAAATATTGAAAATTCCTAGAATGGATGGTGACTAGCAGTGGAATCTACGATGCGCATTTCGTCCTATTTGGGACTCGTCAACTGGATGTACATGCATTCAACAGTGAGGGATGGTGTTCCCACCGAGGCTCGAAACTGGCGTCCGCAGTTTCCCAATGCCAAAGCGCCATCCACTAGACCACTTGGACCACGATAGCCACCTCTTGTGCAACGGGTCATATTAATTATTTAACTGAATTCTAGATTTTCCTGTCGATTGATTGGACCGAAGTGCTCGGTTTCAGGTTGACATCTCGGCTTCCTGTGCAGATGCTTCGACGATGTCTGGGCATGTAACTCAGGGGGAACAACATCACCCACTGTGAAATGCAGGTAAATCCAGTTAATGAGTCCCAAATAGCACGAAATGTGCATCCTGGATTCCATCCATCCACCAATTAACTTCTAGTTCAAAAGCATGTGTCAGTGACAGTATGAATAAAAATATAATACTAAGTTGAATATCAGATTAAATTAAGGAGAAAATTCATGTGACAATTAAAGAGGGTTAAAGCCATACTAATAACTTATAAAAGACTTAGCAGGAAGGGGATATTGCTCATTTTTAACAATCAGGTAATGATGACCGAAGTAAGGAAAGTGGCTGAATGAACACATAAATTTGGCTTCTTCAGGTAGATTCTGATGGCATTAACTGTCTGTACAAGGTGAACTCATAAGGTATAACTGAGAATAATAAAAAGACGGTTGCAGAGAAGAAAATTTTCTTTTCGACGAAGTCATCACCTAGTCGTAATTCGATAAATAACTTTAAATGCCTTGTTAACATCGACTTTGTGTTTATTAGGTCTACGAATAGACCTTGTTTGTCCCTTGCTTAACCAGTGAAGATGATTTTCGAACGTCAGACTGGAGTAGCTGTGAAGAGACAGGGAGATTCGGATGCATTAAGCGCTCTTTTTATTGTATTCTCTAAGCTTTATTTTACTTGTGGTATCATCAAAGGAATACAGTTTTAAGAACAACTGTTTCTTAGTGATGTTAATATAATAGCTTTCCTTAGAGTTAAATTCACAATTTTATCAATAAACGTTTCTGTATATCTATCCTTAATCAGTATTTTTTTCTTCTGATAATCTTGAGTTCTTCATTAAGAGAGTCATTAGAGCAGATTACTCATACATGCTTTCAAACTGTATTTCTGTTGATCTTATCAACTCAATACTATTAACAAAAACCATCAATATTGCCAATAAAAATTAATCTTTAAATACTATACATGTCCAAGTATTGATTTGTAGGGATTTGATTGATTGGTTGCAGGATTTCATCATGAGCTGACATCGGTTATCAGTGAGATGCTCAATAGCGACTGGCCCTTTTCAGGTAGGTTGTTACCTGAGGTTCTAGTGGAAATCCATTACCGGTGGGGCACAGCAGGTCGGGAGTGAGGAGAAGTACTCGCCGAAGACATTGGCTAGTGGTCGCGCTATGTAATGAGTTGGCAGAAGTTGGAATTCATGGGCTAGCCACTGGATGGGGCCCCACTGGCTTAATAGTCTACGATCTCGCCTTGTAACCAGAAGGCCATGGGTTCGAAGCCCGTGGCGTGGGTGCGTACTTCTGGAGAGTCCCAAACTAAGCTGACAAAACAGCCGTGCAGTACTCCCAGCTAGTTTTTCCAATGGTTCTCTAACTGATGTCAGCTCATGATGAAACCCTCCAACCAATTATACATGTATATGTGAGTGTAGAACCTGATGAAGAAAATATCGAAATGACTATTCTTCACTAAATCTGACTTTCAAAATGATTGAGCTTATGTAATTGAAATCGCTGTCAATAGGCGGTGGGGTGCAATCACCTAGAAGCCCTCTGACCAAGGTTTCGTGCTTATTGAGACTTTTCAGTAAAGTACATCCACAAGCTCAAAGGATATAATGCCTATGTAGGTCAATAATGCATACATTAACTGATCTCTAAGAAGCAATTAATGTCATGTTTCTAATTCTTACTGTTGCTGCTGACTAGATTTCATCAGTCAAGCTTCGAATATGTTCACTAAGCTAGATGATTTACCGATACAGTGCATTTTGGATTGATGCATCCATTACAATCCAGCAGAAGGTCAGTTGTCAACCTGAAAAACCCAGTGATAATGCCACCAATTGTAGCACTGGGTGAGAAGGGTCCTAACAACAACTGAGAGGATATTACTTCCTGTAATGTTTGTAGATATCTCCTACTGACGAGTGGCAGTAGGTACGAAACATAGGCTGAGGGCTTCTTGCCGTTGATTGCTTTCAACCACCTATGGGTGTGTGTGCGTCTTTATAAAATGGAGATTTGAACATTTAACCAAATGTTATAAAAGTATTTCCAGTAATTTATTTTCATTTTTCTGCATTACATCAATTCCCTATTAGAATTTCTGAAAAAACTGGTTGATGCTTATCCACGTCCACAGTCAAAGAAGCCGACACCTGGAAGTACTGCGAAGAAGAAGAGCGCCAAAAAGTGAATACAGAGAAAGATCAGTTCAATAAAAATAAATGTGTTTCTTGTTTTAAGTGGAAGCATTTACATTCATAAAATTTGTACAAACTTTAAACTTTACTTGGGGATGAATGATCTTGTCATGTTTTGTCTTCTTAGTTTTTTTCCCTTTCCAGTAATCAATCAATGTCCAATAAAAAGTGTGATGCAAGCCGTTTGTTTAACTTCTTACTGAAAAGAAATTTAAAACAATTCGTCCCTTTGATAAATTTGAATAAGGCATTAAGAAGACAAATTTCGCGAAATGATATCATTTCGTAGTTTCTTTACAACCGCTTTACAACTAACATGGTTAACAATAATAAAATAAAGCTTATGACAATTACTCAGTTAAATAAAAAACAAAAGTACATAGGTCATGTTGTCCATGGTAGGCGAAGGTTGAAGTTTATTGTTTTTTGTACACACAGTTTAGGCTGTATGTGATTAATCCCCAAAAGTGCTTCCATCACCTTGGATACCCAACCTTGAATTAGAGTTATGTGAAATAATTGTGAAACAGTCATTAATATTGATTTTTTGACCTGACATTAAAAAGTGTTTTGCAATGGATGATGCTGGATGTCTATTCAGATTACTCGCATTGGGATTTTCTGTATGATTTTGTAGCCATTTTGGAACATGTTCTTTTCGACGACATTGGAACATTCTATTGGTTCTACCTATATAGGTGTCACCGCAGCTGTAGATGAACTTGTAGATACAGTTTGAAGTAAAGTCCACAGAATTTCGTCCTTCAATCTTAGGTACAGGAATCGAAAATGTTCGGCAAGTGAGGAAAAGAGATGCGGCATAGAATGTGCTTTTGATGGCTGACTTAAGTCTTTGAGCTGTCAACTGCATAATTTGTTCACCCTTAAATGGTAGGCTAATAAAGATAGCTTTCTTTGGTACAGAAGCTGTCTTTCCGAGATGTGGCCTTTCTTTACTGTGACGAAAAATAGATCGTTGAACCGTTCCATCATCTCTCCTGGTCATAGTAATATCCAAGAAACCGAGTTTGTTATTCGATTCGAGTTCGGAAGTCACTCGGATATTTGAGACAACTTGTTTTACTTTTAAAACATCGTAACAATTCAATTTTTCTATGATTTACTATAATGACTGTTATTCATTCCGTACAATCCGAATGAAATATTAAGGTTAAGGGGGACATCTTCATTGCACTCGAATCTCTGAGACTCCTCACTAGCCTTTACATTTTCTTGATATTTTAACGGTGTAAGACGAATGACTTGGTATTTCTATATCTCCAAATTATGTGCACCTTATCTTCAGTGTACCCTTTGCACAGATCTTACGTGCTATGCTGCTTCTCGCCTTCCTTCATATTGTGTTTCTTTGTGTTCCTTTCACATCTCCCATGTGTCTCCTCAACTATGTATCATTTGCTTTCTCTGACATGAAATCTATCTCCCTGCTATTCGATATTTTCATACCGATGAACATCTCTCTATTTATAACTGATAATCCTTATCAGTAACATATGCCACAACATGATTTTCTCCATGTCACCATTGGGCTCCAAACATGTCACTTACCATATGGCTACAACTCAAAGGCCTGGTGTGTAAAGTCACTCAATCAATGGTAGCGTGTAATTTCATATTAATTTCTTCATTGAATATACCAGAGTATGAAACTTTATTATTGATTGGATGACGTTTGGAATATATTTTATTGTTCACAATCATGTGAGTAATAATTACACAACTTTGAAACCTGATTTTTATAGTTCATGGTTTTCCTTCTCACTCATCATAAAGGTAGTATGGTTTTCAAGATGTCCAGGAAAGGTGTCGAATAATTTCCATTGCATGCATTTCCAGATGATTCCATAAATGAAGATCCAGTCGCTAAGAGATTGGAGGGAGATAAACTCACAACTCAATCTTTATTTATCAAAACAACTGAGAATACATGCAACAAAAGTGACTCAACACCCATCCTGGACTTCTCTAAAGTTGTACCATCTATATGAAAACTAAGAAAGGAGACGATAGCTATAAAAATCAAGTTTCGTATTTGCTAGTAAGAATTAGCAACATAAAACTTTGGAAAAGAACCAATTAGGGACCTACTGCTCAACAAATGTGCAGAAGAAAATGGAGATGCATTGGACATACGATAAAGAGGACACTGAGTCAGACCCTCCATTGGAAACTCAGTAGGAACGATGAGTTAGACGTGAATCTAAGGCTGACACAGTGGAGATCTCGAGGGGTCACAATGAAATCTTATAGACAATCTTGGAGTCAGTTATAGAAGACTTCAGGGGGCAAAGTGAGACGGCAATATGCTGCTTAAGCCCTATATTCCATTAAAAACCAATGGGAATACTATTATTAATAATGTTTGGAACGTTATCCAGTGATTTATAGTGAGATATATCGAATAAATAAATAACAGTTTTCAAGTATTAGTTTGTAGGGATTTTATTGATTGGTTACAGGATTTCATCATGAGCTGACATTGGTTAGAGAACCATTGGAAAACAATCTGGAAGTACTGGATAGCTGTTTCGTCAGCCCAGTTCGGGACTCTCCAGTAGAACGCACCCACTGGGGTTCGGACCCATGGCCTTCTAGTTACAAGGCAAGCTAGCCCGTAGACCAATAAGCCACTAGGATCCGATCCAATGGCCCACTGATTCTAGCTTCTGCCAATCCACGACATAGCGTGACCACTGCTCAATATCTTCTTTGATGAGTAGCTATCCTCACTTTCAACCCGCTGTACCCTACTGGTTAGAATTGATTGGCTCTTGGAGTGGATCCCAGTGGCTTAATGGTCTACAAGCTCGCTGGCCTAATAACCAGAATGGTCTGGGTTCGAACCTTGGTGGGGGGCGCATACTGCTCATAAGTCCCGAACTGGGCTGACGAGACAGCTATCCAGTACTCCCAGGTGGTTTTCAAATGGTTCTCTAACTGATGTCAACTAATGATGAAATCCTGCAACCCATTCTAGCAGGCATCTTCATGGGCTATCTCGAACAGACGCGACTGAGTGACGCTATCAATGAAACAACATACTATCGTCGATACGTTGATGATACTTTTGTTGTTTGTAATGACATGAGTCAGGCATCCGTATTATTTGACCGCCTAAATGAGGTCCACCCAAACATTAAATTCACCATGGAATACGAACACAACGATGAGTTCAATTTCCTAGATCTAAATGTAAAAAGAAGAGACGATGAAACGGTCGAAAAGTCCATCTACCGAAAAGAAACTTGGACCGGACAATACCTTCACTACAACAGCTTCTGCCCTATGAGCTATAAGCGGGGATTAGTAAGGACACTGTACGACAGGGCTAGGAAGTTATGTTCGCCCAACAAGATAGAAGAAGAATTAAGCTTTGTTGAAAAATGCCTTAAGGAAAACGGGTATCCAAAAGGATTTATCCTAAAGTACAGCAAAGAAAGAGATGAGAAAGAGAAGGATCCAGTAGTTGAAAAGAAGAAAGTGTTCATTTGCCTCCCATACAAAGGAGAAACAGTATCGCGAAAGATTGAAAAAAGGATGAAAGGAGCAATCAAGAGATGCTTCCCTGCAGCCAATCTAGTGACACTATACAGTACTACATGCTCTATAAGCCAATCGAAACTGGATAAGTACCCTGCTGATGTTACCTCCAACTGCATTTATAAATTTACGTGCACCTGCGGCAGCAAGTACATCGGAAGGACAGAAAGAAGGGCTTCTATCCGGTTTTCAGAGCATATTCCGAGAAACTTATGCTTAAAAGGAAGCAAATATTTACAAAGTGCAATTACCAGACACCTTGTGGATACGGGCCATTTTGTTGAGATTTCCAAATCCTTCAAAATATTGAACATACAAAGGACAGCCAACCTACTACGATTTGCTGAAGCAATTGCAATCAAACATCTCAGACCAAACTTATGCACACAGAAAGAGAGTGTAGTCAATCTCTCACTCCCTTGGTAACCATATCACTTTCATTACACTGATTACTCATAGACACTAGTGAGTTCAACTCACTAAGCAAGTTTTCAAATGGATGAACTATGACCTTGTTGAGTTGCCATGTTGACACTGTTATTACAAACTAACTATAGAAACTGTTTATTAGATTTTTCTGGTTTCTGTCTTCTCTCACCCCCCCTTTTTTCTTCCTTTTCCATAGTTTGATAATATATAAATTGATGGTAACTTAAACTACAAAATTTTAATCCTTATATTCCGGATGCGTTTATCTTATAATGTCTTCTCTATTACCTTTCAAACAATGAAGTATGAAATGTTATTATTTATAACCATTGTAATTTCAGGTAGTTTGCAGCTGATGAGAACCTGTGAAATAGAATGATGGCATGATTTTATACTGCAAATCTGGTTTTTCTTTCTCTATCGAAATAAAAAATTGTTGAATTCAGTGAACAATTTATGATCATTCATAAGTTTTAAATGTACTTTGTGTATATAACACATTGTTTTATACTGATATTTGAAAATCACGTGACTTAAATTAATCGATAAAAGCAATGGTTAGTTCTTTTCAGTAAGTAAATTAAATATTTTATACAGCATACTTTACTAAATAAAAAATAATAATAATAATTAAAGAATATGGACAGTTCTTTATATCCACGGCGTAATTTTCGCTCTAGAGGTCGTATTACCCCTCCAGCATTCTTATCTAAAGTTACGCATAAAACAACAGAATTTATCAATCATCTACGTGGTCGAATTGAATCACCCGTATTAAAAACAAGCCATACCACTTTATTATCACGTCGACGTGGTGATTCATCTGATGGCTTTAGCAGCGGGAGTAATACTAACATTAATAATAATATAGAATTAAATGAAATTGATACAAGTTCAATTAAAACGACATCAACAAGTTCATCAGCACATTCAGGATTCTTAGGTTTTACACTGCCGACAACAGTTGATATCGACGATCCTCTACCGATACCTGTCTGTCGTTTAGGTAAATATCAAGCTGAATGGAATACTGGAGAGTTGGGTGCCTGGCGTCTACTTACACATGATACAATCTCTGCGATTCCAACTAGTCAGTCAGGCGATGATCGAAATGAGCCGAGTTTATCAGTGCTAAAGCGTATGAATAAAGATTTAAAAGAAGAACAGAAATTCTTATTGACAAAATTAAATCTTCTGTATGACAGTTTAGTGAAACAAACCGCACTAGTAAATCAGCATGAAAGAAAACTAGATCAATTAAGGATACAGTTAAAGCAAAGAACAGAAAATACACCAGAAGATATCAGAGCTGATCTAATCCATGAATTGAATGAACAGATTGAAAAGACTAGATCACGTCAACACTTAGATTTGATGTCGATCACTGAAAGTATACGAAGTGAAAGTACAGACAATGATGAGAATACAACTAATGCTAGTAAAGGTCAATCTTCGAATAATACAAATCGATTGTTGAATAAAAATAAGAGTAGAACAGTGAATCATGATGACAACTCTTCAACTATTCGCTATGATGAAACCCATAGTTTATATTCATCTAAAAAGACGACAAAAGATGAAGTCGGTGACCAGAATGTTGATGAGTTAAGTCAAGAAGGAGAAGATAAAGACGCGGATATTGATGATGACGATGATAGGGATGAAGAAGATTTAGGAGACGAAACTCACCTCCAAAATGAACGACAAAATCAAAAAATTCGTATGGATGTTAAAAGTCAAAATCAACATCTAACAGGGAAACAGTTTTCACAAATTCCAATTGAAAAATCGAAATCATCTGTTAGGAAGTTCACTGAAAATGAAGTGACTTCATTTGATTCCTCCTATACAGAAATGTCAGCAAGTCAATCGAAAGGCAGACATGACACTGAGACATCAGAAAGTGAATCAACAGAGTCAGTATATCATCATAAATCCAGTGATAGTTCAGATGACAATGTTGATGTGAAATCGGAAACTCTACAAGAATCAAGTAGTCAGGAGAAAGATAGTAAGACAGAAGACAATGACAATGATGACGTTGATGATGATGATGATGACGATAGTGACGAAGACAGCAGCGAAGAAGAGTTAACGAAAACTGATGCTTCTGAAAGTGAGTCAGGTGTTACAGAGAGTCGTCAAAGAGTTGTACAATTTGGAACTGTATCTAGACGGTAGTGTTGAATTTGAAAAAAGTGTTCATTCAAATCAGGAAATAAATGTTTTCACACAATTCACCTGTTAAATGTACAAGTTTATTCCTTGAGGAAGTATAATGTACGTCCTTATTAGGGAAAGTTGTAAACATTCTAAAGTCGAAGAGATTGGTTAATTATCTTTGGAGTGAAGTATACTTTGGATAAAAGATTGATCTTTCAGAATGCCGGACAGTTCAATAGAAAATTTTAATGGAATTAAAGTTTGATGGAATACAGAGAGAGGGAGGGAGAAATGGCAGTCTTCTTACTGTCCATCTGTCACATCTAATAAACTATTTCAGGCGGACAGATTTCAGGTTTGGATTGACATGAAGTGAAAATTTACTATCATTATTATTCTTTCGGATTGCGAGTTAAACATATGGCTTCAGCAGTACAGCTCCATCCCACCCTGTTCTTTCTTGTCCCTTTTTTATCTGACTCCACTATCACCCATCTCCTTTACGTCACTTTCTAACTCAAGCCAAATTTGTCATTTGCTGTTTGGGTTACACTCGAGGGCCTTGCGTGCGATGTCACTCTACGGTCTCGTCAGTGTGTGTCCAGTCCATCAACATTCCTTGCCTGACAGAGTTCCATGTAGCTGATTCTTTCTGACCAGCCATCTCATGTCTATTACTGAACTACCAAAGGTAGCTGTAGGTGGAATTTTGCAGCCAGGGAGTTGAAAATATAATTAGGCTTTAATGTATGATCCCGATTTCAGATCTGGTAATCGTAAATGAATGAAGAGTATTACACATCATTGATTACGGTTGTAATTTTTTCTGTCATCACAGTAACCGAAATCCAGACAGCAAACAGGCAAGCCTTAACTAAAACCGTAATGTTTCTGACGTTTTATGTCCCACAGACACATCCGGATACACAGAATTAAAGAAAGTAACAACTTCAGTAAGGATTTCACCATGAACTAAAGCTATTTAGGGATCCCAATGATAAACGAGGATCACGAGACGGCCATTTTTTCTTAGTTTGGGACTCTTCAGGAGCGTTCACCCACGACGCCACCAGGGGTTGTATGCAGGACCTTCAGGTTACAAGGCTAAGCTCGTTGAGGATTCATCTACTTGCGTGGGAATTTAATGACTCGTGAATCCTAACTTCTGTCAGTTTGTGATATAGTGCTGACCTAAATCAGGGCTGAGGAGTTCCAAATTAGGACGAAGCAGCTGTTCAGTGTCCCCTCGTTTTCAGATGTTTTAAACTGGCGTTGGTTCGTCTTGAAATGTACATTGAAATTAAACGTAGGGTTAGATACAAATCAGCACAGCACTGAAAAACGTAATTCCATCCTGCATTCATTTGTCTCCGTCTCTACTTACTAATTAGCTATTCAAATAAAGTATCAGTTTTCCGATTCATATATGCCTATAGTCATCGATCGATGTGTTAAACAGAAAGCTGTGAAGTAAATCAAGATAATGATTGTTAATTCCTTTCTTGTCTATCCTTTATTTCTGTTTCCTTTGTGTTCATATTTATACTACTTACCACTAGCGAGTAGTATGAGTCTATATTTGGCTTACTATGTTTTCACTCAGTAGCCATAACTATTGCTCGCTATTGAAATTTATCTCACTTAGTGTGAATTCCTTGAAAAAGAAATTCAGGACCAAAATCTAACGACTATTAAAAACCACGTAAAATTCGGAAACACAGGATTTGTCTAAAATAAGGCACTATATTAGGAACATTAAAAATAAAAAGTATAATAAATAAACCTCATTTGTGCAGTGTCTGTGGCTGAATGCCCTCAAAAAGCACTGCCAGTGTGCTCCAATATGCAAAAACAACAGAGCTGTATCAAAACCGATCAAAGTGTTACTTAAACAGCGTGTGAATACCAGACACGCAATAAAGGGATACGAAGAAACAATATTCAACAGAAACGAGTACATTATTATTATTATTATTATTTCCTTTAGTTCCTAGAGGAACATAGGGCTTCAGCCATGCGTCTCCATTGCGTTCGGTTCTCTGCTAGAGTTTTCACCTGGCTGCAGGTCTGCCCACACGTTTTCATCTCCTCTTCACATGATCTCCTCCAGGTTACCCGTGGACGACCAACTCGTCGCTTCCCTTTCGGGTTCCACTCGAGCAATGGCTTGTCTAGTGATGTCACTTGCTGGTTTCCTCAGAGTGTGGCCAATCCATCTCCATTTCTTCCTGCTTATTTGTTTCACAATCGGTTCCTAGTTGGTTCGCTCCCAGAGATCTTTGTTGCTGATCCTTTCCGGCCATCTGATCTTGAGTATTGAGCGAAGACATCTGTTAATGAAGGTCTGTAATTTGTTTGAGATGCTCTTTATGACGCGCCAAGTCTCTGATCCGTATAGTGGCACTGACTTCCCATTGGAGTTGAAAATCCCGATTTTATTTTTGACGCTGAATGATGTTGACCTCCACACAGACTTGAGAGTAATGAAAGCTTGTCTTGCTTTCCCGATCCTTGCTTTGATATCCTCGTCAGTTCCGCCTGTAGTTGAAACAATGCTTCCCAAGTAGGTAAAGGAGGTAGTTTCTTTCAGGTTCTTTCCATTTATGCTGATTGCTGTCTGTTGTTGTTGTTGGTGGTGTTGGCCAGGGATCTTCATCACCTCCGTTTTCTCTATGTTCACCTGGAGTCCTATCTTTGATGCTTCTTCTGCCAACTTGTTACTTTTCACTTGCATATCTTCCAGTTTGTGGGAAATCAGGCATATATCATCGGCGAAGTCCAGATCCTCCAAGTTCTTTGTGTGAGTCCATTTTATGCCTGTTTCCCCATTGCCCGCTGTTTGTCGCATTATCCAATCTACCGCAATCAGGAAAATCATTGGCGATAGTAGGCAACCCTGTCTTACTCCTGTCTTCACTTCGAAGGATTCCGTGAGCTTCCCGTTGTGGATTACTTGGCATGCAGCGTTGTCATACAACTGTCGGATGAGATGTATAATTGTTGGTGGCACCCCGTAGTAGCGAAGTAGTTGCCAAAGCACCTCTCGATCGACGCTGTCGAAGGCCTTTTCAAAGTCGATGAAGTTGAGATAGAGAGGTGACTGCCATTCCAAACTTTGTTCAATGATGATCCGTAGTGTGGCGATTTGATCAATACATGACTTGTTACTCCTGAATCCAGCTTGTTCTGGGCGAAGTTTTTCATCCAGGGCTTGTTTGATCCTTTCCAGGATGATGCGGCTTAGTCTTTTGCTTGGGATGGACAGGAGCATAATTCCGCGCCAGTTCTTGCATTGACTTAGGATTCCTTTCTTTGGTAGTTTGAATAGGTATCCTTTCTTCCAATCCTCGGGTACTTTGCCTTCTTTCCACACCTTCTCCAGTAGTGGCGTCATCAAGTCTGCTGTTGTCTCTGGGTCCACTTTCAATGCTTCTGCTGGGATTCCATCTGGTCCTGCTGCTTTTCCAGCTTTCAGCATCTTGATTGCCTTCAGGACTTCTGTTTTCGTCGGGGGGTTGATGTTCACTGGTAATTCTGCTTCCGTTGTTGGTATTGTTGGGCGCGTTGTAGGTAGCGGTCGGTTTAATAGTCTTTTGAAGTGTTCAGCCCACGAGTACATAAATAAAGCATATACAGCAGATAATGTTCAACTATAGGATATTAATTACTATACATCAAATAGACCAGAAATACATTGAGTTAAACTTCAATAGCAAATAAAGTTGTGTTTGAGAAGTTAACATTTATATTCATACTACTTACTAAAGGTAAGTAGCATAAGTCTAAAAACAAAAGAAAGATGAGAAGAGAATGTGTAATGTAATATATAATGTGTAAATATTCTGTTTGACCTGCATTAATTGTCTTCTTATAGTTAAATGGTATCTGCTGTATGTCTTTTATTTATGTTCCAATCTCTGTTGAACATTGTTTATTCTAATACCTTTATTGCGCATCTGGACGTTGCCGCTCTGTTTAATCTACACATAGACAACCTTTGACATTAACTTACTGTTTTTCATATTGACTCACAGTGGCTGTGTATTTGACATCATTCAGCTATAAACACTTCACAATTGAAGGTTCGTATATTATATTTCGTTATTCTAAGTACATTATAGTACATTATTTTAGAAAAATGTTAGTTTGTGTATTTTACGTGTAAATCAACGTGTGGTTTAATTAATCGATCACAATTATTGTTACAGATTTCATAGAAAAAATCTACAATGACGAAATGACGAATAGGTATTACTGGTGTATACCTCCTTTCTTCCCACTTGACTTCATGATTTCTATGTTACTTAATAGGCTTTTCTCTATTTGTCATTTCTGTAAATTCATCCATCTCTCCTCTATTCAACATTTTTATCAGAAAACTGCACACTACATTCCGTTACACACAAATCCTTGTCTGTTTACGGTCTATGCTGTTTGGTGATTACTACAATTTATGAGTAAAAGCTTTCAAGGCTTTTACTGAAACAGAGAAGACGTTCAGCGAAAAGACTCTTTTCGGTGAATTCATTCACATAGCTTTACAATCACATTTATATACAATTATTTGTGTGTGTGTGTGTATACATGAGGTTTGTCAAGTTTAGATTATTAATCAGGTAATACAACAATGATCTAATATAGAAACAAGGTTAATTAGACAACAACTAAAGTAAGATTGAGTTAGTAAGTTAGATGACGTAATATAATTGACTAAAATGTTTCAACTTAGGTCAGGGTAGCAACAGAGGTAATTACAGGTAGAGACTAAATAGAGGTGGGGTGGAGAACAATGCTATTTGAATTAGGACTAAAGTTGAGCAAATAAATTGGATGACGTAACATAAATGACTGTTGGGTACTAAGACAGATTACGTCCATTGCAAATGTAGTGATTGAACAAACTTCCTCTGTATTCAGAGTTCAGGGCTAAGCAGGTGAATTGCGATTGCTTCTGCAGTTTGGAGAAGTTTGACTCGTACACTTTTAGGAAGGCTGCTTCGTATTCTGTAGACGACTTT